ACCAGCAGCCGGGTGCGGCCGGGTATAGGTCACGCGCTTGAGCGCCATCCATTTTCGGGGCTAATTGATTCGGCAGGTGAGTTGTTACACACTCCTTAGCGGATTTCGACTTCCATGACCACCGTCCTGCTGTCTTAATCAATCAACACCCTTTGTGGGATCTAGGTTAGCGCGTAGTTAGGCACCGTAACCCGGCTTTCGGTTCATCCCGCCTCGCCAGTTCTGCTTACCAAAAATGGCCCACTTGGCACTCATGTTGGTGGGGTCAGCCAGCACCCCTGAAAGCCAGCCACAATTAAGATGGCGGCCCTCCTCGCCCGTTTAAAGTTTGAGAGTCGGTCGAGGGAGCTTCTCCCCCGAGCCCGCCAATCATTCGCTTTACCAGACGTAACCACGTATCGAGCACCAGCTATCCTGAGGGAAACTTCGGAGGGAACCAGCTACCAGATGGTTCGATTAGTCTTTCGCCCCTATACCCAAGTCTGACGAACGATTTGCACGTCAGTAGCGCTGCGGGCCTCCACCAGAGTTTCCTCTGGCTTCGCCCTGCTCAGGCATAGTTCACCATCTTTCGGGTCCCAACGCGACTACTCAACGCACCCCGGGCGCCGAGGCCCCCGGGGCGGTCCGTGGTGCGGGCAGCACGAGGCCGCCTTCTCACGGGTCGCTTTCACTGTCGCCATTGTGGTTTCCAACCCATTGGCTCGCAGCCGCGTTGGCCTCCTTGGTCCGTGTTTCAAGACGGGTCGCATCAGCCCGTTTCGCCAGCGCCGACCCGTGAGGGTCATCCTCGGTCTCCGCCGCGGTGGGAGCGAGCTCCTTTTCCCGCGGCATCGACCGGCGCTGCGTACCTCCGGGCCCCGCGCGAACGGGGCCCGCAGGTTTGCTTGGGCTCATGCGCTTATCCTCCTGACGATTTCAAGCACTTTTTACTCTCTTTCCAAAGTTCTTTTCATCTTTCCCTCGCGGTACTTGTTCGCTATCGGAAACCTGGCCGTATTTAGCCTTGGATGGAGCTTACCACCCATGTTGGGGCTGCACTCCCAAGCAACCCGACTCTTCGGATGCGTCTCGTGGAGTGACGGGTCGTCGCCCGACGGGGGTGTCACCCTCTCTGCCGCCACTTTCCAGTGGACTTAAGGCGGCGCCCGTCACAGAGAACGCTTCCTTTTCAGACTACAATTCGGAGGGCCGGGGGCCCTCGGATTTCAAGCCTGGGCTTTTCCTTGGTCGCTCGCCGCTACCAAAGGAATCACGGTTGTTTTCTTTTCCTCCGCTTAGTAATATGCTTAAATTCAGCGGGTGGTCTCGCCTGACTTGAAGCCATCGTTTGGGGTTTGCCCGGTTCCTCCCCGTCCGACCATTTTTGTACGAGCCCCGTCCGCCTCTCGCCCGTTCTTGTGCGCTACTTTGGAGGGGGAGACCGGGGGTTGCCACGCCCCCGGCTCCCGAACCTTTTCGCGACCGTCTCGGGAGAGAAAAGAGGGACCGAGTGACCGGCCCCCCCACCTGCTGGGAGGTCCGGACGGAGTCCGTTGGCCGGCTGGGTTCGCCGAGCCCAGCGGGGTCGCCGCCCGCCTCATCTCGCTCGTCCCACTCGCGTCCTCCCGGGTGGCGCCCGGGGATCTGCACTGGGGTCGAGAGGAGCGGAGACGGGCTAATGCGGCCCTGCGATTTCAACCGACTGCCCCCCATTTGTGCCCCGGAGCGCACGGGTTGCGACGGCCATCTCGTTTTCCCAGGTACGAGCGATTGTCTCGGAGAAAGGGGGGGCCGGAGCCCACACCAACCCGAGCGCCCCTTGTCTGCCCCGCATTGCTTTCCCGTCCCGTTTCCCCTGCCGCACTTAGCTGCGTGCGGAGGGGTGGGTTCGGATGCGAGGTTCCACCTGGATGTGTGTGGCGTTCAAGCAGACGTGCCCTCGGCCGAGGCCTCGGGCGCAACATGCGTTCAAAGTTTCGATGATTCACGGAGTTTTGCAATTCGCATTACGTATCGCATTTCGCTGCGTTCTTCATCGAGCCAGGTTCCAAGATATCCATCGTCAGGAGTGGGGTCCCAGTTTTTATTAGGTGCCGGGGCCCGTGGGCGCCCCGCTCAAGGGAGGGTTTTTTTGCGACCGGACGGCCAGTTCCGGTTGCGGAGAGGTTTGTATTCCGCCTCTGCCCGCAGCTCCTTGATGCACTGCGAGCGGGACGGTTGGGGGTAGCAAAAGGGTCCCTTTGCCATCACCGCGGGCGCCCCTTCCCGAGCCTTCCTAGAGGAATTCAGAAGGCCGGGCGAGCAAGACCCCGCAGTCACACCGCCGATGCCAAGAGAGACCGAGCACCGGTGGCGGGGGACGCTGGATTGGGAGGAGGAGCGTCGGAAGGAAAGGTGTTCAGAGGATACTCGAGGTCAGGCCCCGGGCTTCCCTCGCTTGCGCTTGGTAGGCCCGAGCTGTTTCCATCAGGGCTGGGGAGTTTTTTTTTTTGTCCGCATGGACGCCCGGTGCCGCCGGGTTGCTGCATTCCCTGGTGTCGAGGCTCGTCACGAACTGGAAGGAAAGAGCTTCGGGTGCCACCCCTCCGCCCAGGCCGACCGTGTCCGCGTCTTGCCTCGCTCCCGATCGCGGCTAGCCTTTCGGGTGGCGGCCCTAATAAGCTCGCTGCGTGAGAGGGGACGGCAACCTGACCTCCTGCGAGAGGAGGTTCGCCCGGTCCCCCCGAGTTGCGAGCAACCCGGAGGACCCGAGGGCGGTCGTTTCGTCACTCGTTCTTAGGGGCGTTTGCCGAGGTCTGGGATCAACCAGGGCGGTGCCCCATGCCTGTCGGGGTGCGCTTTCCGTTCAGCACCACAACGGATCCATCGGTGCTCGGACTTTTTTCGAGCCACCGCACCACGCCAGCTCGCCGATCGCTCGCCAAAACGACCGACGCGCTCGCGGGGCACGGCCTGAGGTGGGGTTCCTGCATTGTTCCGACGGATCCTCCGACAAGGCCACGGGCACGGAGATCCGGCAGCCGGCTGAACGCCGGTCGTCATCCTTCCGTGCCCTCGAGCGTGCTCTGGACGCTCGCCTCCTCCTAGGAGGAACGCGAGAGCCCGCCATCTCTCTCGTCGCCGCTCGCAGCCCGGGCACGGGTGGAACCCGATTCCTTTTTGCGAGCGGGACGCGAGCACGCGCTTTCCCCACCCAGGAGGCCGATGCAACGCGAGCGCCGCACCTGCCGACCCGGGGTTTGGGCTGCGATTGACCCCGCAACCCAAGGGCTCACTGAGTGTGTCAATGATCCTTCCGCAGGTTCACCTACGGAACGGTGAAATCCTGCATCCTCTTCGGGACGAGGAGCGCGGTCTCCCGCGCTCGCCGACTGTATCTTAGGCCTGCTCGGAGGCAGACCCACCGTCGTTCAGTCTGTGAACTGCCCCTTGCCGGTCTCGGGTCCTGGAGGTAGGACCCGGAGACGGGCCCGGGTTGGCTGCGGATCGTCTCACCCGGCCGTGCGTTGTCACCATACCCCGACGCCTTGTCTGCGTCGGGCCACGCCCCCGGCCGTCTGACCCCGTCGATAAGAGGGGGGCAGCCGAGCCGGGCCGGCGCTTGGTAGCACGGCCTCTCGAGAGGTCTCCGCAGTTGGACGGTGTCGCGCCGAGGGGGGTCGCGCTCACGGGCCGCAAATCCCACCCCGGTGCACTAGCGCTTAGCGTCCCTCCCCTCTCTATCCGTCGGCGAGAGGGAGAGACGCACCTGCCCCTCGAGAGGCAGGCCGCTCAGGCTTCCGTGTACGTGCAAAGCCCCTGCGGAAGGGGTTTTGTGCCGCGCACGGCAACCTTGTTACGACTTCTCCTTCCTCTAAATGATAAGGTTTAATGAACTTCAGGCAGCGTCACCGACGGGTGACCGTCAGCGTCGTCGCTTTCCGTAAACTTCACCGGATCATTCAATCGGTAGGAGCGACGGGCGGTGTGTACAAAGGGCAGGGACGTAATCAACGCGAGCTGATGACTCACGCTTACTAGGTATTCCTCGTTGAAGATCAATAATTGCAACGATCTATCCCCATCACGATGAATTTTCAGAGATTTCCTAGACCTCTCGGTCAAGGGTGAGCTCGTTGAATTCATCAGTGTAGCGCGCGTGCGGCCCCAGAACATCTAAGGGCATCACAGACCTGTTATTGCCTCAAGCTTACAGTTGGCTAAACGCCAACAGTCCCTTTAAGAAGTCAGCTGCGAACGCGAGCGTTCGCATGCCTATTTAACAGGCTGAGGTCTCGTTCGTTAACGGAATTAACCAGACAAATCACTCCACCAACTAAGAACGGCCATGCACCACCACCCATAGAATCAAGAAAGAGCTCTCAATCTGTCAATCCTTACTATGTCTGGACCTGGTAAGTTTCCCCGTGTTGAGTCAAATTAAGCCGCAGGCTCCACACCTGGTGGTGCCCTTCCGTCAATTCCTTTAAGTTTCAGCCTTGCGACCATACTCCCCCCGGAACCCAGAGACTTTGATTTCTCTCAAGGTGCCGGTGGCGTCGTGGATGTAACATCCACCGATCCCTAGTCGGCATCGTTTATGGTTGAGACTAGGACGGTATCTAATCGTCTTCGAGCCCCCAACTTTCGTTCTTGATTAACGAAGACATCCTTGGCAAATGCTTTCGCAGTGGTTCGTCTTTCATAAATCCAAGAATTTCACCTCTGACAATGAAATACGAATGCCCCCAACTGTCCCTTTTAATCATTACTCCGGTCCTGGAGACCAACGCAATAGGACCAGAGTCCTATGCGGTTATTCCATGCTAATGTATTCAGAACGTGGCCTGCTTTGAACACTCTAATTTTTTCAAAGTAACATCGCCGTGCCCACGCCCCGACCAGTGAAGGCCAGGACGTGTTCCCGACAGGTAGAGCGGAGGAGACAGTATCAACCGAAACGGCAGACCGAGACCTCCGCCCGGATATCCAACTACGAGCTTTTTAACTGCAACAACTTAAATATACGCTATTGGAGC